TATTAACTAAAAGCATCCTTATTATACAACAAACTAAATATTTTCATCAAAAGAAACTGCATAAAATTCCAAATGATCGTCTTGAAAATTGCATAAAATTTAAGGTGCATCCTTATTCTGATAAGGATGAAAAATAAATTTATATTGGAACTTTTGTAAAACACAGATCACCAAAATTAAAAGATATCATAGCCACACGTAACTCAGCCCTCATGACATAGGCTGTTTTCGAAAAGAATCTTTTCAATCTTGCAGCAACATAGAAGTTCATATCATTATAAACAGAGAGAAAGAGAGACTAAAGTAACAGAACCTAAAATATAGAACTATACTTTCGTAGCAGTGACGACCCAAGCAATTAAATTTCACACTACAGTAAGAAATCATAAGCAAAAAGAATTGTACAACAGAATAGAAGGAGATTACAAATAGGCAAAGCATGGCACCAACACATCCTGAGTGCAATAAGCAGGGAGCGAGGGTGAAGCATACAGACCTATCTGGCAGTGTGTAGTGGGGCAGTGGGGAGGGCGATGACAGCAGCAGCGGTGGTGGCAACCAGGGAGGGCCCCGTAAGCATTGTGGTCGACGATGTTTCCCTTTTTGTCTATGTCAATGGCATGGTCCACATGCAGAGTAGTTGCGCAAGCAGTGGCTGCACAACCCTCCCGGCGATGGCAAGGATAGAGCCGGCGAGACACGACAGCGTCCTGCAAACCAAGATAATGGGGGGACCTGTCAGAGAGACGGCCCAAAATGAGGTAGCATTTGAAAGCGCAAACTTCGGGCAACAGTGTCTGATGGCACCTGGCTAATGCTAGCGAAATTCTAACCACGGATCAAGCAGCCATATAAAATTTGAGTCTGGACAAAAGATAATACAATTATCGAGCATATACCCCTTCTAGAGAAGGGGCAAAGACTACGCAATATCTGGACATTAACCTTGTCTACCATGTGTAATTCATATAAATTTGCAGCATCCAGAAATCTTTGATGTGTCCTTCAAGAATATTAAAGAAGTTGAACTGGGCAAGAATCTTCCTTCCAAGTACTTCCACAAGGAAAATTTCAATAGCAATATTGGAATAGTTCCGGTGTAATATATTTGAAACCTTCAAGCAATTTTTTTGCCAATATAACTGAAAGCTTACCAAGAAGAAAAATACAAAAATCAGCTTAGGTTGTGCAGTCAAATTTACAGCCCAATGATGATTATTTTTGTAAGCAGCACAAAGAACTAAAAGGTACCACTTCCATGCAGCTAAGAATTTAAAATTACATGGCCAAAACATACATGGATTAAACTTCCTTAAAATAATGGTGATGCGAGCCTTCCTAATACAGTAATACTCACCATCTATAACCACATAAGCCAATTAGCACCATCGAGCGACCATTAGTAAGAAACTAAGAATGAAGGGAAATGAAAGTGGTTGAACATGAGTTTCTTGTTCAACCACTTTCATTTCCCTTCATTCTAGGGGCACGTAATTAATAAGCGATCCTCTGACATCTATTTACCTTGAGGACAGGTCGAACCATTTGTTGATCAACACTATAGCTAGGGCACGAAATTAATAAGCGACCGACAGCTCGTCTTTACCTTTCTCATTGGTGGCACTGTGGACTGGATTTTCCCTGTTGCTGCCTCCAGCGCGGCAGAGAAGATCTCCCTCTATGAGATCTTGGTCCAGTGCACCAAATATAAAACAATACAGTACGCAGACAGATGCTCAAAGCAGCGAACAATTTGATAATGAAAGCAATGCATCAAATAACTTAACCTATGAGCATATGGCCAAATAAGCATTGTCCAGTAAAACTTAGACATGAAGTTCAGAAAGGCAGTTCTATAGATCAGGATTAGGAATACATTCCATAGCTCGAAAACCAACAACAAACAATAAAAGATCAAGAACAACTTATATGCAATAAAGGTATGAAGAGAAGAAATCTTTAGATAAGACGGCTATAAACACTGGAGCTTAAATAAGCAACACCTTTAAATACAAATAAAAAGGGTTCACGGTTCAATGCATAGTGGGCTCAGATTCGCCTTTCCTCGATCATATAATCTACCCACGCCATCTCTTGTCACTAGATTAATCTGTTTATACAGTGGAGCTGCCCTGGTTATCACTCAACAAGAATGACCATCCAAGGACAGAACAATAAGTATCACATGATCAAAAAGGATTCTAGAGACAAGAGGGAGGACCCAACTTGATACCCACAGGTGCCTTGATTGCTCAAAGGCACACTTATTTCAGCCACAGCGAATCATCATCGCCCTAGCAAGGATGGCTTTCGACCGGTGGGACACGTGTGAATAAAAAGGGTTCAGGGTTCAATGCATATGGGCTCAGATTTTCCTTTCCTCATCATATAATCTACCCCCATCATCTCTTATCACTAGATCAATCTGTTTATACAGTGGAGCTGCCCTGGTTATCACTCAATAAGAATGACCATCCAAAGGACAAAACAATAAGTATCACATGATCAAAAAGGATTCTAGAGACAAGAGGGAGGACCCAACTTGATAGCCACGGCTAATCATCATCGCCCTAGCAAGAATGGCTTCCGATCGATGTGGCACGTGATTCAAACGCGGTGGGGCAGGCTATTTACGCGCAGTGGCGCGGTCGAGGTGAAACTGTTCATTGCAACAATAACTATTTTTTATCCGACGGACGAGGTCATTCCAGGGCTCGATCCGACGGCTCAGATCGCATCAAGCAACCAGATCCAACGGCCAGGAATGCCAAGCGGCTAAGGAGGCTGGAGGATGACCGACATCCTAGAGCAACTGCTTAAACCATTGAGTACAAAAGTCATTCATGCCAACCACAAAAAGGAAATAATCTGCAATGCAAGGCTAATATGATTTATCTATTGCCAATCACTGTATCCATTTAAATTATGATCTGAACATATATACTTTCCAGTCACATGGCATCATCTTTTTAACTGAACTAAACCTCCAAAGTTATGTCAATGATTAAATATGGCATTAATGTAAAATATGGTAATGGGGTGGTTTATTTGGGTCAAAAAAAGGCAAACAACACAACACAGAGTATCCAATTAAGCATAGCAATTAACAATCAGGGATACTAATGAGGGAACTCTGAAAATGGATAGATCACCTCACATAATGATTATCTGAGCATACCTAGGCTAGGCAAGTGAAACCGACAATAAGGGTAAATAGAGCAGTCGTTCCCTTGGCAGTGGCTGCTCCATGTCCTCCTCCCCCTACGTATCCTGCCATGGAACAACCGACAGAGCGACCCCAAATCAGAAGCCTGCGCGCGATGAAACGAACTTGCGAGACGGGGGTAACATGGGCCCACCATGTTACCTGGGTGAAGAGGAGGGAGCCAAAGAACCCCGCGAGGAAGAAGAGGCGACACGAGAGGAGCACCACAGGGAGCCAGAGCCGCGTCCGCACGAACCAAACGCAGTCGCTCCTGATGGCTGGCTAGCACAAGGGAGGGCCGGCATGATCCCGCAACAACAACATGAATTTGCAGCAATCCATCCATGCTCTTATCATGTTTTCTGCAAAACACACACAAAATCCGATCATGTTAATAGAGCAACCAGAACCTTCTGTGTCATATGGAGATTAAAAGGAAAAAGAATTAAGGATATATGAAACGAGTAGTTCAACTTTACACACATGATCAAGAAAATGGTAGTGTGGGCAGCATATATATGCAGAAATCCATCTCCATGCTCTTATCATGTTTTCTGCAATCCAGAGTGACACCTACCATCAGCAACATAACCTGCATAAAAGCACACCTATGATTAGTAATACTGGACTAAATCTCGTTATAAATTAGAGCACGCTGATACTCTTTATGGGAATAAATTAGAACAAAAACTGAAAACAAATTATGGATACATACTATCAGATCTAGCGTGAGCATTTGAAAATATGTGCCAAAAACATACAAGGTTGTGTTCTGTGAGAAAAGGAGAAGTGTCTGACACACAAATAGATGCATTACAGACAAACATTTTCAGGTTCTCAACTTCTCAAGTAATCAATTTTCAACCACAAATGTTATTCTTTAAAAGGCGTGAGTTCAAATGTGTAAACTGAACCAAGGCATATTACTTTTTCTATGGTACAAATAACCCCCTATGCACTCTTGGCCTTCTTCTGGCCATATAAATTCTCAAGCTCTTTCAGATTTCTCAAACCCTGCCTTTCTCCGACAACATGTCCATTATCCAACTGATTCAAGCGATTAAGTCTGAACATGGCAACTGAGAGCCATTGTCTTCCTCAACAGAAAGGAAGCAAGTTACATTCAAGAAAACTAAGCACAAGCTTGACCTATTAAAATACAAGATATAAATGAAAGAATAAGGTAGGAAGAGGGCTGCCAGAAATGCTTAAAACCCACTAAACACCAACGCTGACTATTGGATATTTTGCCAAACGCACCATCTATTCTTCTCTTAATTCATCGATGATGGCACAACAGGTGTATTGCTCAATCTGTCTATCCAACTAATGTATAGCCTTCAACCATCTATGTCGATGCATCTCACCTCTAACTGAACTGTTACCACCCAAAACATAAATACACTGCATATGTACCAAGAAAAGTAATCATTGATTTCTCTTTGCATAGCAATAATGAAATTAAACAAAGGAGAACATAATGCTTACATAGACATGAAAAACAACAAAATTAGATATTTTGTCAGAAGCATAGCACGCACATGATAAAGTAAAAGCCCAGGAAAAGAAACAAATTGTGAGAGGAATGGAATATGGAGAGAAACAACCTTGGAATCAGAGTGAGAGGGGTATCACATGTACGTGCTGCTTCGAAGGATTGCCTCATTCTTCAGGCCATTGCAGATATGAAAATAAAAGGCAACCGAGGTTGACATCACAGAGAGGGAGAGAGAGAGAGAGAGAGAGAGATGGTCGGGGTGCTTTACTCCCCGATAAACCATGGCGAGCCAACGTGCTACACATGAGCAAATGGATGGAATCGAGGCCTTGGCACAAGGCGCTTGTAGGGTTGGATGTAGAGGAAGAGGAGCACGGCGTGGAGGTTGGCCTCCCACGCGTCGTCCGCTGCGGGGTCGTCGTCGTCACCGGGGAGCACGGCGGAGAGCGCCCCGAGCGCCAGCGCGGCCTGGTCGGCGGGGATCTGCAGCGGCTCCGCGAGCATCGCGGCACCCACGCGCCCGGGCCCCGACGGCACGAGTTGAGCAGGAGGGCTCGGGAGCCGCCGCCGTGCCCGGGGACCAGCTCGCGGACGGGGAGGGCGGGCGCCCACTCGCCGCCGCCTTGCCCTGCTGCTGCTCCTCCCCTCTGCCGCCACCGTCGTGCTCCTCGTCCTCCCTCCGCTTTTGCTCATCGTCATTGGGGAGGGGGGACTTTGCTATGGTGGATCTGGCCGCCGACGGTGCGGGGAGGCGGGTGGCGGCGGCGGCGGCGATGTGGGCGGGAGGAGAGGAGGCGTGCGGGAGGGGAGGCGAGGGGAGGAGAGGAGGCGCGCGGGAGGGGGAGGGGAGCCGGCCCTTTTATACCCCGTGCGAGTGAAATGACGAAAATGCCCCCGGCGGGGCAGGCTATTTACGCGCGGTGGCATGGTCAAGGTGAAACTGTTCATTGCAACAATAACTATTTTTTATCCGACGAACGAGGTCATTCCAGGGCTCGATCCGACGGCTCAAATCGCATCAAGCAACCAGATCCAACGGCCAGGAATGCCAAGCGGCTGAGGAGGCTGGAGGATGACCGACATCCTTATTTCACGATGAGATCGCACCCCTGCGCTTGTGCGACCAAGGTTGCTCACAATTGGGTTTCTCTTGCCTCTCGCTAATGCAGTCTTCGATCTACCTCGTCTCCTGTGGTCCTGGAAACATGGGCGCGTGATTTTTAGGTGTTTTGTTGGTCTTGCTCAGAAAGGCGAGACAGTGGTGGCTTCCTGGGAATAAACTTCGTCTCGCCTAGCTCATGTCCCGATGGTGCTTCTGGTGTTATCAGAGGACGTGTGGAGGTGTATCTCCAGCAGATTTCTTAGGATTTGGTCGATGTTTGTCTCCAGTATATCCGCTTGAATCCAGCATGCGTTCGTGTATCTACAGGTTGCCTTTCGGTCTATGTTTCTCTTCGGCGACAATTGTTGTTCTGGTGTGCTGATACCATGAGACCTTAGCACGAGGATCTCTCAACTATTTACTACAACAAGATTTGAAATACTCTAGTGAGGGAAGGGCGATGACAACGGTGCGCCTTCGACTCGTTTCGGTTCTTATATTTGTCGGTAGGTGGTCCACGAAACTGGATGCAAATTTTCACTTCTGGTGTTCGTAATTGATGAATAGATCAAAAAAAATTCCCCACAACAATAAAATAAGAATATGTATATATTTTTTGTAACAACATGGTTTTCTCTTGAGAAACTAGAACAACATAGCTGTGCACACACGCAGAACAAAAAAACATAGCTGTGCACAGCCGAAGCCATTTCGGTGTGACAAGGGCTTTTCCCTCAATAAATAGTTTATATATGAAAGAAAGTGCCAAGCCCAGCCTATCATAAGGCTGGTCGTAATGGTAGTATCATAGGTAGTATCATGCATGCCAACTAGGCAATTTTGATGAGGTGTCATAACATTAAATGAAGAAAGAGAGGGTGTAGTATCATATCATGATACCGTATCATATTAAATGCTATGCTACTTTATGTCATGCATGATAATAAATAGAGTACTACATGATACTAATATATGATACTATGCATTAGAGAGGTAGTATCATACACTAGTATCATATGCATGATACTAGTATATGATACTTCCCATTACAACCAGCCTAAGCACGGGCAAATCCACATCCCCGCAGGAATCCTTGCACAACCCATCACGAAGCCTCCAAAATTGTGTAAAAAAACACGAAGCCTCCAAACCAAACCTTCCCTTCCCGCGCGCATTCCGCTGACCAAATTTCCGGTCGCCGCCTAAACCCACCACTGAACCGCGGGATCACGCATCCCCACACGGATTCCCCCATGCGGCGCGCCTAAATCCAGCCGTCCATCAAATCCAACGACCCCACATCCCGCCACCTCACCGATCCAGACCCCAACCCTCTCCACCAATCACGCCCCTCCCAGCACCCCCATATATTCCTACCGCCCCGAACCGGGAAACCCACAACCCAAACACAAACCTCCAATCCTCCCCGCGCGCCGCAAACTTCCCCAATCCGATCCCTCGTCTCCTTCCCGCCGAATCCGCCATGGCGCCCAAGGCCGAGAAGAAGCCCGCCGCGGAGAAGAAGCCGGTGGAGACGGAGAAGAAGCCCAAGGCCGAGAAGCGCGTGCCCGGCAAGGACGGCGGCGCCGACAAGAAGAAGAAGAAGGCCAAGAAGAGCGTCGAGACCTACAAGATCTACATCTTCAAGGTGCTCAAGCAGGTCCACCCTGACATCGGCATCTCCTCCAAGGCCATGTCCATCATGAACTCCTTCATCAACGACATCTTCGAGAAGCTCGCCGGCGAGTCGGCCAAGCTCGCGCGCTACAACAAGAAGCCCACCGTCACCTCCCGGGAGATCCAGACCGCCGTGCGCCTCGTCCTTCCCGGCGAGCTCGCCAAGCATGCCGTCTCCGAGGGCACCAAGGCCGTCACCAAGTTTACCTCCTCTTAGATTGCCTGCCGCCCACCGAGTCTCTTGTCAGTTTGGTTTCGTTTGTTCGTGTGTCAACAATCGCAGGGGGTTAGACCCCCCTATACAAACATTGTAAAATGAGTCGTATTTTCTAAATCAATGAATTATCGTGGTCCCTTGTTACAATCGTTCTGTGCTTCAGTTTTATGATGATGGCAGTTGTTTTTTTAAACTCTTTTGATGTGCTCGAGCAATTTTAACCTTCTGCATCTCGCTGATCATCCATGGATGAGTAAATTGTTGGCATAGGTCTTCATTATTTCTGCAGGGTAAGATTTTTATTTCATCTGATCTGTTGTTTGGCTTGCAGTGAAACATTGCCGCTGAAAGCAAAATTCAGTGAAACTGTGGACGTTTTTTTTGATAAAAGAGAGCATTCTCTCTGATTTCCAATTTCATCGGCATGCTGTAGAAATTCTTTTGATTAGATGATTGGCTGCCAACTTAAGTGAGGAGATGTACCAGCTACATATTGCTGTGTACCAATGGAAAGTTCTTATTTGATCAGATTTGTCAACAATTCATTGCGAGCTTTTAACACATTTTAAGAATTTTAGAAGTCCAGTGCTTTGCTTCAGTTGTGAAGATGTCAGCTGTTTGAATTTTAACTCTGCGATCTGCTTGAGTATTTTCTGTTTGTTCTGAACCTCGTGCTTCTTCTTTTCATGATTTTGCGCCATTGACGGAGGTCTTAGTTTACCTTTTCTGTTGAATTCTTTTGATCAAATGTTTGGGTACTAACTGATGACAGGAGATGTACAAACTAAGGATGGAAATTTCTTATTGACCAGATTGGGTAACTTCGTACGGAATTTTGTTTTCAGGGGTAAGATCTCATTGCGAGCTTTAACACTATTTACTCGTTCGAAAATTCAGAAAGCCAGCCTTATAACAGTGATTCTGTACACACAATCCAACCCAGTGCTGAAATGTCTACTTCCAGAGGATCATGGATGGTATTTTGATCGCCATGGTAGCTTAATACTCTGCAATGGGTTTGATTTGAGCGATTTTCTGATTTTCTTATCCCTGTTAATATACATTGAATTTCTGGTTCTCTAGTCCAACAGCTTGACAATAATAATAATAACTGTTGGCAGCTTGAAACCAATTAGCACCCTGAAAGTCCAGCCTTATTCTAGTAAGTTCCAAATGTGCTTCAGTTCTGAAGAGTAAAGATGTCAGTAGTTTGAAGTTTAACTCTGCGATCTGCTCGAGCATTTCTTTTGTTGTGAACCTTGTGCTTCCGCCTTTGAAGATTTCGGTGACCACACCGTTGACATAGGTCTTAATTTAATTCTAGCAATATGCTGTACTATGCTGGGTTTCTGTTGAATTCTTTTGATGATATGTTTTGCTGCGTCAGTTCTAGCAATATTGTACTACTATGTTTGGTTTTCTGTTGAATTCTTTTGGTGATATGATTTTCTGCCAACTGAGGGAGGATGCTGTTAGATTGCTGCCACCCGAGTCTGTTTAGTATGATCTGGTTTGTTCGTGTGCCAACAACAATATGGGGTTAGATTCCCCAATCGAACAGTGTAATATGAGTCGTCTGCTGAATCAATGAATCATTCAGTGGTTGTTTCAAACGTGCTTTGCTTCTGTTTTCTGATGATGGCAGTTGTTTTATTTTTTAACTCCTGTGATCTGCTTTGAAACTAACATCCATGGTTGAGTGAACTGTTAATATAGGTCTTGATTATTTCTATGGAGGAAGTTTTTTTTATTTATCAGATCTGTTAAGTTCTTACTGAATTTTGTTTTCAGGGGCAATATTTCATTGCGAGCTTTTAACACCTTTAACCCATTCTAACAATTTAATATCCCTGGAACAAACATCCATGTTTGGGTAGGCCTTGATCCAATTCTACCGACATGCTGTATGTGCTTTTTCTGTAGAAATTCTTTTGATTAGATGATTGGCTGCCAACTGAGGTCAGAAGACGCACCGACTACAGATTGCCACACGGATGGAATTTTTTTGACCAGATTTGTTAAGTTTTTACTGAATTTGTTTTCAGGGCATCATTTCATTGCGAGCTTTGAACACATTCTAAGAATTTTAGATGTCCAGCCGTATTCTAGTTAGTTTCAGATGTTCTTTGCTTCACTTCTGAAGATGTCAGATGTTTGAGTTTTTAAGTCTGCGATCTGCTTGAGATTTTCTTTGTTTGTTCTGAACCTTGTGCCTCTTCCTTTGACGATTTCGTTGAATTTGCCATTGACGAAGGTCTTGGTTTAAATCCAGTGTCATGCTGTACATGCATACCTTTTCTGTTGAATTCTTTTGATCAGATGTTTGGGTGCCAACTGATGACAGGAGATTTGTCTAAAAAAAAACTGATGACAGGAGATGTACACACTAAGGATGGAAAGTTTTTATTTGAACAGATTGGGTAACTTCATATTGAATTTTGTTTTCACGGGCAAGATCTCAGTGCGAGCTTTAACACAGTTTACTCATTCTAAAATTCAGAAAACCAGCCGTATTCTAGTGATTCTGCACACAATCGAACCCAGTGCTGAAATATCAACTTCCAGAGGAACATGGATGATATTTTGATCGCCACGGTAGCTTAATGTGCTACTCTGCAATGAGTTTGATTTGAACCATTTTCTGTTTTTCTTATGCCCGTTAACACATTGTTCTATAGCCCAACCTTTTGAAAAATA